CCATTCAGACACAAAGAGAGCAGGAGTGTTGGGTTGAGAAAGAGTGTGTGTTTGGGGGGGGAGGTAGGATGAGCAGAGGGGGGTGAGGTTGGAGGAAGTTGGTGGTGGGGGGGAGGTGTGAGGCTGGTTTGGGAATCTTCTCCTTGATGTACCAATCCCCGCCGTGCCCCGGGGACACGTACGAGATAAACACCAGATAAGCCCGACAAAGGCGGCAGTGCCAAGGCGCAGGAGTTGGCACGAGTGAGGCGGCATGGCACGGATGGAAGCGGGCAAAAGCGCCCCCTGTTGGGGATTTTTTTTTTAAAAAGGCACGAGGGTGGAAGAGCGGGAGAGACAAAGAAGAAGGTGGTTACAGCTGAGGCAGGAGGTCATTGTATGCCCAACTGAGCAATGTTCCCTCGTGGCGTGAAAACACTGATGGCCGGGGGATCTGCAGGGGGCTCTTAAGGCTCACACTGTCAACTGTGGGGCAACACTGCAATTGTTGGGGAACAAGGGATAGTCATGTGTGTGTGTGTGTGTGGGTGGGCAATTTAGGAATTCATGTGTGCTGGAATCAGGCAAGTGGAGATGTGTGGAAAAGGGAAGACTGCCACGCTTGACTTACACAACGTGATACATGCAAAAGCAGCAGAGTGCAGGCACAGAATGTACAGACATCCATATAAGATTTGTGTTTGTTTGTGTGCGAGGCTTCTCTCTCTCTCTTCCTCCCTCTCTCTCTCTGTTTCTCTCTCTCCCTCTCTCTGTCTTTCCCTTCAGGATGTTCAATAATTCACTGAAAGAACAACTCGAGATTGGCTCAGCAGGGGGCGTACCAGCTGACAACATGTTCAAACGGAGCTGTCGAAAAGAGGAATTGCGTGATGTACAAAAAAAAAGTCGCACACACACACACACACTCGTTAAGCACTGCACAACTGCCGGGCATAATTTCCAAAAGAGAAAATCTCAACATGTGTTTGTATGTATACGCATTCAGGGGCGCAGCGTCTTCACACCTCCCCGCTTCCCACACAAAACTTATTTAATCTCCGATACTTTCCTTGACTCATTCTTCTTTAGTTTTATTCACCGTGTGTGTGTGTGTGTGTGTGTGTGTGTGTGTGTGTGTGTGTGTGTGTGTGTGTTTTTTTTTTTCCCTCCTGATTTTTAATGAACCTCTAATCATGTGTGCTTTACTCCCATCTGGTAATGTTGGAAATATTTGGTCACATTTAGGGTTTTTTTTTTCCTCTTCAAATTAAAGTGATAGCCTTTTCAATGTCAAACAGGATAATGTACACAACACAAGCAGACAGGAAAACACAGGTATCACAACCTCTGCAAAAAAAAAAAAAAAAAAGAAAAGAAGAAAAATCATCCGTGGTAATTAAAAGTGGGGTCACCTTGTGTGTCTAGTACAATGTGACAAGTTTAGCGTGCGTGTGCGGAATATAAAGTGTTCGCAAGACGCGCGTCTCCACAACCATGTATACACTTACATTTACATAAGATAATGGACAACCCATTAGAGGTTATTGTTTGCGCGGGCAGTTGACAAATTAAATATAGAAACGACAGAAAGTGTCTGTATGTGCCAGCGTGAGGTGCCAGAACAGCTCCGGTGCTCATTATGTTTTCTTCAAGATTCTGTTGGACGGATGAGGCGCTTTCTGCTCGAAGACGTCACCTCGTTTGCTAATTTGATGAAGTAGAGGAAAATAGGGGTTGATGAATACTGATTGGTAGCAATGAAAGACACAGATAAGAGATATTTAGAATTGATGCACGCGTGCAGTAAGGATGAAAACTTTGGTGTGAAATTTTTTAAAATAACACAAACTTCCAATGCTAATCTTTTTTTCTAAAATGCCTTTGTTTATTTATGGTAAACATATCTTTAATTATAATGAGTGGGACGTTGCAGAAGACCAAGCAGTGAGTAGAAAGAGAGGATGAGGATTTCTGAGATTTTTTTATTGCTTATTATTTAATTTCATCTTTATATAAATATTTTTTTTAAATATTTTTTTAATATATATATCATATTGTATAGACACACGTGGACAAAATAGTTGGTACCCCTCGGTTAATGAAAGACAAAACCCACAGTAGTCACAGAAATAACTTGAATCTGACAAAAGTAAAAATAAATAAAAATTCTATGAAAAATAAGCAATGAAAATCAGCCATTGCTTTTGAACCGTGGTTCAACAGAATTATTTTAAAAAATAAACTCATGAAACAGTTGTTTACGAAGTTTTTTTGTTTTTTGCACTGAAAGGCCTGCACCTTACTTTTCGTTGTACTCGTTGCAATGACAATAAAGCAAATTGGAATCTGAGGAGGCTGCATCAGAGCCAAAAAAAGCACTTTTTAAAATGTACTAATATATGTATTTTTGTTTGTTTGCTTTTTGTTTTTAAATACAGATAACTAGCAATTTCCCTGACGTCTTGTACCGAAGGGATTAATAAAGTTTTATTCTATTCTATTCTTCTAATTGGAAAAACATCAGATCAAATAATCAGCCAGGTCAATAGTCAGCTGACCTCTGCCCTTATTCAGCGACCGCCTTTGTGCTAATCACCACATCTGTATATATTATTCTATTCTATTATGTATTTCATCACCTGTATATGCAGTATATTTTACCACGAGAGTTGATTTTAGATACAAAGATGTCACAATCACATCAGGCTTCCTCACCCAGACAGTGTTTCCCAGATATATGCAGAACAAGTGACACACACACACACACACCCCCTCTCTCTCTCGAGATGTGTCACGCCGTTTGCCTCGCTGAGGGACTTCCACCTGCTCAGAACAGCCAAACCTAAGTTTGCTACAGCACATCGCAGCAGACTGCACTTGTGTCAGCAACTTTCTAGAGCGCCAGCTTCCTGTGCGTCTCCTAATTTGCACCACATTAGAATGACAATGCAATTTGCAGGTTTCGAGTTAAAACAACTACAGAGCAAATAGGAATAAACGGAGGATGTTTGCGTTTCTAAGCGATGCGTAATAGAATTTTTTTTAAATGAGCATTTTGACAGCGTAGCGGTTCAGTAAAAGCCACTTCCTCAAATACTTTTTAAGCATTCGAGCACCGCTATGTGAGAGTTGCAAGGAATGTTGCATCCTCACCAGCAGGGAGAAAAAAAAAAAAAAAGCTGAAGTGGGCAGACTGTGAGAACTATAATGGCTGAAGCAACAAGTTGAACTGTCATCACACCCACCCCTCTTTTTACTCAGTTTCAGTCTCTCTGTCTGACTCCCACACTGCCTACACAGTTACACAGCGTGACACCCGCACACACACACACACTAACACACACACACACACACTAACACACAACAACAACCCTCCCCCTCACCCAGAGAGCGAGCGAGAGGGAGCTGTGAGAGCTCAGTCATGCTCTCACCTCTCACCACCATTCACTGCTCTGGTTTTTAATAGTCTCACACCATGGACCAGCTGCTGGAACATCAAGGAGAGAAGACTCAACAAATGCTGAATCACATGAAAGCCATTCTGGCTGCTGAGCCGTGTCACACTCTGACACGCACGCACACGGACGCACATTTCTCGTACATGAATGAGGCACACACAACACGCTAAAGACGTCCTTTTTGCCGCCCGCGAACGAGGCATGTGTTTGTGTCTCTGCTCACCTGTTGCCCAAAGACTTTCCTTCCAGCTCGTGCGGCTTGAAGAACCACTTCCCGATCCGCACAAACCCTTTATCCATCAAACATCTGCGGCGTTGAATAGAAGGAGAAAGAAAGGGGAGAGAAAGAAAGGCATTCATTACACAATAGACAACCTCTCTCTCTAGGCATGTACAGGAGGATGATCGATTAAAAGAAACACCTGAGCAATGTTCTGCACTTCAGTGAAAGAATCAGACAGTGATTAGTATTCTTGTGAGGCTCAAAGAGGTTTTGATTCATCTCACTGGTGATTTTTTTTTTTTAAAAGACTGGAGCTTGTGCTGCGAACGGTTTACGACAGCTTCCATATTACCAATTTATGGCCTTGTTCTGAATTTAACGAGTAGAAACAATGCAATGCGTCTTTATATTAAGTTGACCTTGCAAAATTTACACCATTTTTTAAAAAATAACTTTCTATCTCGAGCACAATTGGCACACAAGACCTTGAAAAAAGAACATTTGCTTTAACTTTGGCTCGTTGCCGTTTAGATATTTTTATGATTTTATTTATTGCTATTAACCCTCCAACTGTTAGCTTGAACAAATTGCTCGAATTAATCGGAGCCAGCAATTTGCAAAAACAGAAAATATCAACAGATTTTCAACCTCCCAGCAACCCTTGACTCATCCTGCTCCTCCGTGACGTGTGAGTCCATCTGGATAAATCACCAAATCGGAGCTTCAAATTGTGATATTTCATCAAAAGTAATTATATTTAATGTGTCTCGATTCAACAAATTCTCCAAAAATAAACAGTTTGCTCTCTGTTAAAAAAAAAACTAAAAAAATGGTGCATTCCTCAGTGCAACCATGAAATCACTGGTGACTCATCTGCAACCAGCATTCATGTGGTCAGAATTCAGGGAATATTCATTGAAGTGTGCAGGCTGTGTTTACACAGAGCAGATATGAGACAAGTGGAAACAAAAAAAAAATGTAAATAGAGTCACATTTTTTCTAGAATTGGTAACACCTGTGAGCACTCGGAAAAATGTTGCACATGTTGATTCCAGATTTCCAGAAATCCGACTTTCTATTTTTTCCTTTTTTGACATTTTATGGCATTATAACTTTGTTGTGCGGCACGGCAGACATTTTTAAAGTCTCTCTCCTTCTAGCCGTAGTTACGATGTTCCCATGGAGGTGCAGGACTTTATAATGCAGTGAAAAATGAGCCCACAGTGAGTAAAAATGTGACAGGAGCCGAGAAAGCGCTTCAGGCTCGGAGGGTTAAAATGCAGCAGCGGGGACCGTCGCTCGGCTGAATGTGAGCCATAACGCGAATGTGAGTCGAAGATATACAGAGTTTATGACAAGTGCGCAGGAAAAGTAAAGGTAATCTCCTTCTAATCTGTTTTCCCTAAAGTGGTTTGCACTTTTACACATAGCTTTCCAGAAACCTTTCCTTTCATCGGATCAAAATGCGATCGCATCAAAGTTCAAGCTCGCTGATGGTGCTCCTTGTTTGGCTATCCCGCCATCTGCGCACCTCTCCACCTCGTTTCAGTCTCCTTTCACAGACAAAACACGGCTCGCTCACAAGTTTGACTCGTCTCTGTGTGCAGGTGCCAGTGAATTCCCGGCTGAATCCTCTGACCGGGGTCGAGGTATTACAGAATGATTTCATGGAGTCCTCCTCGCTCAGCCTGGCTCAGCTTCCCAAAGCTTTCAGTCCACGGCTCTACCATCTTTGGTGCATTCTTATCAACACATTTTCTTATCTGACCACGGCTGCACATTGCACATAAGCTGTCGGTTCATTTTATAATAACACTGACGAGGTAACTTTATTGGGATGGTCACATCGTGGCCGATGGCCAGCACATCTAATAAGGTCAGTATTATTAGACGGCCAATTTGGCCAATTTGGCATATCTTATCAGTGCATCTCGAGCAGGGCCACTTCACTGGAGACCTTACAAGAATATCTATCAGGCAGCGAGCGCTGTGCCATACCTGTGGAGCAATCACTGTGAGTAAATGCTGAAGCTAATGCTGAAAAGCCTCCAAATCCAGATCCTTTGATAGTTGCTAACCACTGGCTCAGAAAATACTCTTGTTGATATTAAAGTCAAATAGGATATAACTAACTTCAGCCTTGATTGTAAAGCCAATACTCCACAAGACAGGCTCTTAAAATCCAATTTTTGCTACAGGTGTAGTTGGAAAATGTAAAAATGTGTGTAAACATCTATGGACAGAACCTACGCAGCAGTAAACATGCAGCGTGGACGCATTGTTGCCACATGTGGACAAACACAACATGTTATCATCATGTAATGGACACATCAGCATTCAGCTGTCCGTTAGCACATCCAGCAGACACGGGGCAACGTTTAACATTTCCTTCCAATCCACCAAACTCAAAAACTGTCATTGCTATGAACATTTTTGGGCTTACAATTGTGGGCTTGGTTTTGGCCCAATTAAAAGAAGGCAGAATCACATGGAAGCAGCTCCTGTTTGCAGCGTAACCCCCGACACTGAATCTATACATCCTGTGATTTTACTGACCTGTACATGGAGGAAACTGTTGCTAAAAAAAAATGTGCGCAGTCACTTTAAACTGCCTGTATGAGCTGTGTAAAGTCTGATAAGCAGCCAAACTACAACAGCTCCATGTCAGATCATTAATTCATCTTCTTCTCAACCTATTCTCGCTCGTTTGAAGCTTTTCTTTATCGTAACCTGTGGATGTTTAAAATAGGATCTCGAAACCTATCAAGCAAAATACCTGCTCAATCGGTAATGAAAGCATTTTGCATTATTGGGACCAAGCATTGTTGATACTGTGAAGTTCTGAATCAATGCCGTGATGATAAACAACTGAAAAATTCAAGGTTTTTTTTATCTCTAACAGCTCCTGAGATACCGTCGTTCAAACAGCCTCAAATTTCATTGTGCAAAAGTGTGCTGCAAGTGGGTCAATGGGCGATCGTATCTCAGAAAACATTCGATAAATCAAGCTAAAACTTCATCCACCAGCTCCTCTGGAAAATATCCAACTGTTTGGCTGCCTCACTGTTCATCAGCAGGTCATCAACTTTGTTCCTAGCCTAAAGTGGTGGTCTTAAGCTCTTTGTAATGAAAACAGCTGCATGCATCTGGAAATGACGCTGATGAGGGCAAACTCAGGGTGAGAGTTCTCTGTGAGTTTGCTCCTATCCACTCATCATCTAATGTTATGCCGATACTGATTAGAGCAGCTTTGCAGAGAGCTACATTCGTGTCTTCTTGAATGACAGGTGCATCAAACTATCACCGAGGTGTGTTTTTCTCGTCTCACCTCATCTTAAAATCACATCATTTTCACAGATATTGCAATATGAGTCACAATTTCTTTCAAATTCATTTCTTTTCTTCTTTTCTTCACAAAATGATGATGTGATTTAGGCAGCGGGCCGAACAGAACGAGCTTGTTCCCTTATGTCTGGAGAATATGATTTGTTGACTGGAGCATCGCTGCAGCAGCAGCACAATGCCTCATTTATAATAATACTTTGTGACACACTTTGACTTTATCACAAAAATTGCATCTCCTCGGATTTTGGATATTGCATTTGGCCGGACCACGATTCTGATTTCATATTTCGACTAATTATTCAGGCCGACTGCATCCTTCAAGACACGTCCTCGGCTATTAGGTGTCATTACTTTGCCTTTAGATCCTCCAGGATGTAGAGCTGAATGATTTGAGGAAAACACTTAATTGCAACTTTTCTGATGTATTGTGATTTAATTTGCGATGCAGTTTTTAAAATCTGTCAAATTTTTGCCATGTAAAGGGATGTGATAGAGCCTTACTACCATCAACTATTGTGAAATCATTAACACAACAGTTTAAACCTTGGATCAGACGCACAACAAAACATACATCCTGAACTGCGACCTTTACGATTTGCAAATGTTTTAAATGGCAGTTTCAGTGGATTAAGTATTCAGCCCCGTGCAGAGGCTACTCCACTAATGTTGTGTACATTTAATTAGATGTTATAATTATTGTACTTTTTTTGCTTCTCCGAGTCCACACAGAAACCAATAATCACATTTCCCCTTTTATCTCTGACTATGAGGACGATTTATATAATAAGAGTACAATCAAATTCAATCATTTAAAACAGTTATAAATCTACAGTACATCTGGTAGCAGATGTGTCACTTTGCTAACTCGACAAAACATCTGTATGGTCTGATTAGCTGATTTCTTTTTTTGTATTTTTGCTGAACTTATTACTGACGCCATCCTAAAAAAATATAAAAATTAAGTATTGCTCGTTACTGTTTACGTTGTCGCTCAGCATATTAAGGACAAATTGAACTCCTCATAAATGCTTTATTTGTCAATGACTTCTGTGTTAATCACGAATAATAACAACAATAATAAAAAAGTTATTTGAATATTAACAGCCTGTGACAGAGGTCAGCTTTATCAGCACCACATGAAAGAGAAAGTGGAAGTGATCCCTCTAGTGTTGAAATAGTGATCTATAAAAGGAGTTAGCTTCAAGGTAATAGGAAGGTTAATTCAACCTGCCCCCTATGATGATCACTGATGCTTAACTTAATAGAGAGCAAATATGTGCTGCTTCATTTAACAGATGGCTCTGACTCAGAAAGGAGAGCTTTGGGTACTTGAGCAAGTGATTCAGCGCTCAGATTATAATTTCATTAAGGTGAGGCTCGTGAAAGAAAAACCGAAGCTGTCTGTCAGCGTAACTTGCAGTTCTTTTTGTTTGCCGATTTCTAGAATAAAATCCAAAAAGTCTCGTTCGTTTAGAAAGTCGCACAGCGTTACTTAGCAATAATTGGAATAAAATTGCCCTGTTTATAAGCACCGCGTCGCTATAAAGACATGCAGTAAATACTTTATCAGACAAGAGAATAGGTGTTTAAGTTTTAATAATGTGCAGTATTTCTCAACAATTAGAGCTTCTCCTTTAAAGGAACATTTCACTTTTTATTTTAAAACAACCAAACCAAGAGGCGTCCTAGTTGTTGACGTGCATGTTTATTGTTATATACTGTTTCATAATGCTAATTAGAAACCTCTATTTGTTGTATTTACTATGTCGCATATGCAACCCATCTATAAATCAGATCCTAAAAAACAGTTTCTATACAGTGACGGTGGTTTTACCTTTCCAGCAGGTTGTGTATGGCCTTGAACAGGAGGGTCCTGCACTCGTAGGACAGCCCGCACTCCCAAAGTCCCTCCTCAGCCACTGAAAGAACAAAAAAAAGAAGTTTATGTAATTAGACTCTGCTATCTCAATATGATATTTCCATGCACCACCTCCACCATAACAAACAACACACGGTTCGGCGTGTGTTTACAGATGAGTCTGTCGGAGCATGTTGCATGTGTCGATGAGAGAATCTACACGTCATATCGGGAAGACGAGACGATGCCCGTGCATGTGTGTCTGCGCGCACAGAGGTTGCCCGGCCGTACAGCTGTCACATCGGCTGCAGCGACAGTCCAGTCAAACCCCATGCAGTTGTCAGCCCCTGTTAGCCGGAGAGCGCCGGCGTGCCTGTATCTACACGGGCTGACACACATGCTTGCGTGCTCAGGTTTTTACATGCATACAGAGTTTTTCCCTCAACACCCCTCTTTTTTTTTTTT